GCAAAAGCAACAAGTTTTATCACTATATTATTAGGTGTTTGTTGGGAAAGATATGCCCCATAAATGGAGCAGTCTTTTGCTTGAAATTGTTCTTACAGATTACTAAATTTTTCTGCTTGAATTTGGTGCTGCATTTGTTGTTATTGCTATACACTTAATTCGTGTTGCTGTTGGGTTTTCTAGAGTAATGTGACGTCTAATTTGTGCAGGTGTCAGCAATTAAGATGGACGTGCATTTGAAATATGCATTTGGTAGATTTCAAGAGCAATTTGGATCTGGACCTGGACTTGGTCCTGGATCAGGAACCAATCTTATGAAGATAGATGGTATTGCACCGCCTTTCATTAAGTCTGTATACAGAGCTGCTGCAGCTTTGTATAGAACTGATCCTTGGAGGCGGTTGCGCCCAGGTCATCTTTTCGGTGTAAGGGTAGGGAAGGATTCAGATTGGTCTGGCAAAAAACAGCCATTTTCTTGTATCCAATTTATTGGTGGAGATGGTGGGGATATAGGTCTTTATATGTTTAGGTCGGAAAATGATGCGAAGAAGATGACTGGTTCTAGGGAGACAATTCGGGTTCCAAATGTTGAGGTTTTGCGGGTTACTTATGACCTGGACTCTGTGATGCTCCCTTCAAATAAGAGATTTGTTATATCGTTGGCATTGGAGGTCTCAGGTGAAGATCGATATCCAGTGATTGACGTTGGCCGCTGCACAACCACTGGTGAGCTTCAGTTTAGGAATCCAACACTTGAAGAGCTTAGATTTGTGTATGCAGTAATGAAAGGAGCTTCTCTTCTGCACCCTTTGCTTCAGCAAGATTATGGTGCAGCTCCAAAGTGGTCTAGAGTGACATATTTTGAACCTTTCATCGAAACAGTTGATGTCCAGTGGCCTGCAGAAATGGCCAAAGGAAATGATCTTGTGGCAGTAACAATTTCACACCCTCCTGGTCGAGGATATCAGGAAAAGTATAGCTCGTCATCAACTTCCACTCCCACCAAACATTCCGAAGCGCAAATGGAGGAGACGTTTATTGATGTGAAATCAAATGCAGCTGTCTGTTTGAGGGAGTGCATGCTGTGTGAGGAAAAGGTCAGCAGAGAACAGTCAGTTTGCTGCGGTCATTGCTCTGCAGTGGTCTATTGCAGTTCCGTCTGCCAGAAGCAGCATTGGAAGGAAGCGCACAAAGATGTTTGCGGACTTTACAGGGCCATGATGGAAAGAGAAGAAGAGCTGGCAATGAAGATCTTCATCTTTAGTTGTTCTGCTGAGCAGCCTTGTAAATGGCTTGAATCACTTGGTATTCACCAGAAAGGCATGTGGAGAAGAAAATGTAATTGTTATTTCCACTGTCCATTTGGTCTTCTTCCTGTTCCGGGTGGACTTTGGGATTCATGGGGTGGCTTGGATGAGAATGAATACCCTCATGATTCACCTTTTCATAATCATTTTAGAGATGGGATATCAAGCTCAGTCTTCTTATCTGGTTGGCTAGAGTACTACAGCCTCCGGTCATTACCACTAACGAGTCCCGTTGCAGATATTCTGTCTCATCCCTTGACAATCTATTACATATTGACAGCACTCAACATCAGCTCAAAGAATCTGTTACTCAAGAACAAAGAGGTGATCCTCCACTACATTGGACCTGAAGGTGAGTTAGATTGGATGCCAGCCTTTGCTGAGATTGGTCATCTACTCCACGGAATGGGCAATATACACATAATAATGGTCGGGCCAGAAGTCCCCACTAATTTATCCGGGACAACTTCTGGAATAGGTAGCAGAGTGAGGGTAAACCTTGTAAGGGGTCTTTACCAGGACGAAGCCAACTATCTGCCAACTCCTCACGTTATCATGTCTTTGAATTGTGGGTTAGGAAGCTATTCATGTTGGAATGGAGCTCTTGACTTGATAAAATCCACGAACGTTCCAGCTTATTTCACCAATGAGTCCGAACTTTCGTGCTCAAGTAGTAAACAAGTTCTTCGCGCTGCAGGGTTACATATTAGCTATCCTGTAACACCAAATCCTTTCCGTTCTCCTGTGAGGATTTTTGGCACTTCCACTAATTTCCCATCATATAGCAATTGTTTTTTGTTAGGAGTAAATACATGAATTAGGATATCCACTAAAGCCATGTTGATGTTGTAATTCCTGAGTCTTGCACACTGTTGTCAATATTCAGCTGTATGGTGATCATCTGAGGGACACTTATTAAAGAAATGCCTTACAGCGAAATTGTTTTCAGTCCATATATGGAATCTGGGTTTGTTTCTTTCATCAAATAATTATTATTTATCAACTTAACTGTTATTTTCTTTTAATGTTCATAGGTCTGATGTATGTTATTGATTATATATCTGTAAGACTACCACGGTATATTCTGGAGAAATTTTAGCAGAGACCAAAAAGAGGTATGTGATTTCCTTCCATTTCCCCTAGCTTTGGACGATAGAATTACCGGTGCCTAGTGGTGACAAAATGATAAAAAGAAAATAGTTATTCACTCATATTATCCATTAAAAAATAAGTTGGATAATGAACTTTTTAAAAACGGGTCAAATATGGATAAGAACTATATTATCCACTTAGAAAATGGATAACCATTAGATAACTAATGTGTTTAACTTTTACATTTGTAAAGCCTCAAATTAGACTAGGAATTCTCCCAAAAGTGATCATATTCAAGGAGTCATGGATAATATGGATATTCATATTATCGTATATCTATATTATCCGCCGGTTAACCCATTTTATCCGTATTAAATATGGGTCGGTTGGATAATTTATCCGTTTTTTGCATTACACATTTTTACCCGTCCATATATCCGATCCAACTCGCCCATTTGCCACTGCTACCAATTCCTGTGCTAGAGGAAGCAGCGTTGTTTTGTTTCCATCAATGGTAGTATATTTTCTTAGTTGTGTCCCGATGACCAGCTTTGGAAGTTTTAGTTTTGTATTTCTAAAAAAAAGTGCAATCCAACTTGATCAATGGCGGCCGCGGTCATGCGCATTCCCCACACCTTCAAATTTCCGAATAGTAAAAAGAAGTGAAGATAAAATAGTAAAAAGCTGTGGACAATTGTTTATAAGATTAATAAATTTAATATATATTTATGTAAAAATTGGTTATTGAGAATTCGTACAAAGTTTTGAAAATTCTAAGACGTTAAGGAACAAACGCTAAAAGGTAAAAATATTTTCAAACTTTTTATAACAATCCAAGTGTTTCCTGTTGAATTTAGCGAAAAATTGACATAATGGAATAAGGGACAAGCAAAAATATATTGTTAAACTTTAGAGAGTAAGTGGTGAGATTACAATCACTACCTTAAATAATATTAGGTGAATTTACAATCAGTAAAATATAAACGAGAATCAAACGTAGTTTCTCTTTGTTCCCACATTCCCGCTGAATCAGCTGGACTACTAGTCTTTAGCTGAAGGTTGTTTTGCTTTTGTATTCCATGGTTTTGTTCTTTCAAATATATATTCTCCCATTGAACAATTTTATTTGTTTTTGTAATGTAATGATCTCAAGAAAATCTAAAAGTAAAAAGGAAATCATCTCCGAAAGTCCTAAAAGAGTAAAATAGAGGGAACATTTCCCACTTGGCTAAGTAGTTAATTGTTTTATTTGATTCTTCTAAAATTAGGTTGGATTTGTCACTTCACTATTAGATACCCAAACTTGCAAGTAGCAACTCACATGCATCTCTTTGTCCAAGATAGATATATTTGCCTTTTCCCTTCAAAGAATAGAGGAGCCAATCATTATTTTAATGAAAAGCCTAACAAGATCACCAATGCCACCAATCTTGGCTAGGCTTATATAAGGTCAAAATCAACACTCTTTTCATCCCCTAAAACACAACCAACCTCTCTTGCAGCCACCACACTTTTCCTCCCAAATCCTCTTCTCTCTCTATTTTCTAAGAACATGGAGTTCTCAACCTTCCACCCCTCTACACGGAATTCTTTCTTCACCTCTCCTCTCCTCTTTCCCTATCATTTCATTCCTGAGAATTATGTTCATTGGAGAGAGACCCCTGAATCTCACATATATTCCGCTGATCTTCCAGGTAAAAAAAGAAAATCAAAATTGTTGAACCATTTAAAATAACCTCTTTTTTGAAGACCCTGTGCTTTGTTCTGTATTAGATATTGGTTTTCTAGAGTTTTAAAAAAATGGTATTGATGTTTTCTTTTATAGGCCTGAAGAAAGAGGAAATAAAGGTGGAAGTTGAGGATTCAAGATACCTGATAATAAGAACTGAAGCTGCCAATGAAACCACAGAACCAACAAGGAGTTTCTTGAGGAAATTTCGGCTACCTGGAATGGTGGATATGAATGGAATTTGTGCTAGTTATAGAGATGGTGTTTTGACAATCACAGTTCCAAGAACTCTTGTGAGAAGGGGATTTTTCATTGAGCCAGCTGACTTGCCAGAAAGGATGGTGAATCTTGGTGCTAGAGCTGGCTTGATATATTTTTTCCAAACAAGATTGGTTAATATTAGTAATACTTAATCTTGTAAACATTGATTGTTTCGGGAATAGACAATGATTTCAAGATTGTGCTTTCTTTGAGTATCTGTAGTTCTGTACATACTATTGTGCTTTCTTTGAGTATCTGTACATACTTTAGATTAATGATAATCCTTAAACTAAATTTGCTGTCGTTCCAAAAACTTTTAAGCTTGTGAATAATAGCAAAATTATGGCCTGGAGACTATTTACCCTGCATCACCTAAGGTGCAGAAGATGCAGGGGTTCCATCCCTTCTCCTTTTCATGGTCCATCCTCCCAAAAGAATATTAAAATAGAGGAGTATTAAAACCGAATCTTATGAATGCTCTCCAAGGAAAATCTGGCGATGATAGTTTCAGAATTAATGCACCATTGGATGTTGAATTTAGTTAATTAAGGAGGTGTATAGTGGTGTCCAATTTCAATTTGTAATTGCAGAACGCAGAGAACATAGAAAGATGCAAAATATCTTCATCTTTACCAAGGGAGCAGGAAAGGGGATAATATTGTTAGACATAGTTAGTTTGGTCTAAATTCTAACATTTCTACCAAGTAGGTTCACTAAGAGGTCGAACTTGAAACATCCAGTATAATCAAGTTCTCCGTTGATCTTGAATCTAAAGGAGAAGGAATAGTGAAAAAAGAGGGAAGAATTTGACAGTAGGCTTTGCTGGTGGATAATTTTGGCCCATGGAATCTGAATCTCCTTTGATGCACTTGGAAAAAGATAAAGGTCACAGGGTGGGCCCTCCAGTCCCCTCCTTTACTTTGCGTCTACTTTAACCAACTTTAGTTAAGTGAACTGCGACTTGCAGTTGCCCCTGCCAAATTGATTTAAAAATCACAACTTGGATATTTAACAATTAATTACGTATGATTTTCAGCAAAAGGCTGCAACTTGCAGAAGCCACAGACAGGAGTATGATAAATGCAATAAAAAATGTCTTATCCAAATTTAATGCGACCCCACAGGGAAATTGACCAATTTAGTGGATCTAAAGTCGATAATTAACAGTTTACCGTCCTCGAATTATTAACATAGGAAAATTTCACAAGAATTAAGATTTCAGAATCGGAAAGAATTAGAATAGACCATTACATTTAATATTTGAGAAACAGTGAACTTTCCGCCCAAGCATGTCACTTGCATTAAATTGTTCATTAGGGAAAAAAAAACCTTGCTAAATCTTTTATGATGATTTAGAAGTATCGACACTATGGTTGGACGAGGTGGTGCGTAGTATCCCGCACACCAAGAAGCTGTTCATTGGCGGAGATTTCAATGGCCATATTGGGGCTAGTGCTAGGCGTTATGATGATGTGCATGTCGGGTTCGGTTTTGGGGATAGGAACTTCATTGTTGGAATTTGCTAGAGCTTTTGATTTGGTTATAGCCAACTCGAGTTTTCCGAAGAGGGAGGAGCACCTGGTCACATTCCGAAATTCGATGGCCAAGACGCAGATTGATTACCTTCTCTGCAGGAAATGTGATTAAGGTATATGTACTGATTGCAAGGTCAATCCCTAGTGAGCACCTCACGACCCAGCATAGACTCCTAGTAATGGACTTGGAGATCAAGAGGAGTAGGAGGAAAAGGGTGGCGTGCAGGCAACCTAAGATCAAGTGGGGTAACTTGACCAAGGACAAAGCTAAGGAGTTGGGGGAGAAGTTGCTGGCTACGGGGGCCTGGAGGAGTAGGGGGGACGCGACTAGTATGTGGATCATGACTGCGAGCTGCATTAGGGAAGCTGCTAGAGAGGTCTTAGGGGTCACGAAGGGCTTTTTTGGGGGTCATAAAGGGGACTGGTGGTGGAATGGAGAGATCCAAGGTAAAAATAGAAGCTAAGAAAGCTGTTTATTTAAAGCTTGTGGAGAGTATATACGAGGAAAAAAGGACTTATCGGGAGTGTTACAAAAAGGCAAAGAAAGAGGCAAAGTTAGCAGTTACAACAGCAAAGAATGCGGCATTTGGTTGTTTGTACGAGGAGCTCGAGGCCAAAGGCGGGGACAAGAAGTTGTACGTGTTGGCCAAGGTAAGGGAGAGGAAGACCCGTGACTTAGACCAAGTCAAGTGCATCAAGGACGAGGATGACAAAGTATTGATGGATGAGGCACTTATTAGAAGAAGATGACAGACATACTTTCATAAACTGTTGAACGAGGAGGGAGATAGAAGCATTGTGCTAGGTGAGTTTGAGCACTCCGAGAGTCGGCAGGATTTTGGATTTTGTAAGCGTATTAAGGTAGAGGAGGTGGAAGGGGCGATGCGTAAGATGTGTAGGGGCAGAGCGACGAGCCTAGATGAAATCCCAGTGGAATTTTGGAATAGCGTGGGGTGAGCAGGCTTGGAGTGGCTCACTGGGTTGTTTAATATTATTTCAGGACGGAGAAGATGCCCGAAAAATGGAGGTGGAGTACGATGGTTCCGTTGTACAAAAACAAGGGTGATATCCAAAATTGCAACAACTATAGGGGTATAAAGCTATTGAGACAAACTATGAAAGTTTGGGAGAAGGTGGTGGAGGCCAGGGTGAGGAGGTGCGTGTCTATTTCCGAGAACCAGTTCGGATTCATGCCGGGACGTTCGACTAAGGAAGCGATTCATCTGGTGAGGAGATTAGTGGAGCAGTATGGGGAAAGGAAGAAGGACTTGCATATGGTGTTTATTGACCTTGAGAAAGCGTACGACAAAATCCTGAGGGAGGTTCTGTGGAGGTGTTTGGAGGCTAGCGGCGTTCCGGTAGCGTTCACTAGGGTGATTAAGGATATGTATGATGGTGCTAAGACTCGAGTGAGGACTATGGGAGGTGACTCGGAGCATTTTCCTGTTGTGATGGGGTTGCATCAGGGATCGACTCTTAGCTCGTTTTTATTTGCCTTTGGCAATGGATGTGTTGTCGCGACACATCCAAGGGAGGTGCCTTAGTGCATGCTATTTGTCGATGATATAGTGTTGATTGACGTGACGCGAGTCTGGAGGTTTGGAGACAAGCCTGGGAGTCTAAAGGTTTCAAGCTGAGCAGAACCAAAACTAAATACTTGGAGTGCAAATTCAATGACGGGACCCATGAAACAAATGTAGATGTAAAGCTTGATGCCCAAGTTATCCCCAAGAGAACAAGTTTCAAGTATCTCGGGTGTATTATCCAAGGTAACGGGGAGATTGATGAAGACGTCACACATCGCTTTGGAGCAGGATGGGTGAGATGGAGGCTCGTTTCTGATATTTTATGTGATAAGAATGCGCCGCCAAGACTTAAGGGTAAGTTTTATAGAGTAGCGGTTCGACCGACTATGCCATGGGGCTGAGTGTTGGCCAGTTAAGAACTCTCATGTGCAAAAGATGAAAGTAGCAGAAATGACAATGTTGAGATGGATGTGTGGGTGTACCAGGAGAGATAAGATTAGGAATGAAGCTATCCGAGACAAAGTGGGAGTAGCCTCCGTGGAGGACGAGATGCGGGAGTAGAGGCTGAGATGGTTTGGATATGTTAAGAGGAGAAGCATTGAAGCTCCTGTTAGGAGGTGTGAGAGCTTGGCCATGGCGAGTTTGAGAAGAGGTCGAGGTAGGCCTAAAAAGTGTTGGGGAGAGGTGATTAGACAGGACATGGCACTGCTTAGCTCACTGAGGACATGACCCTTGATAAGAGGGTGTGAAAGTCTAGGATTAGGGTAGAAGGTTAGAAGGTACTACTTATCTCTCCTTCTTTTTCTTCTCTCTTCCTTTCTTGCTTTCCTTCTTTTTCTTCTTCTTCCTCTTCGTCTCCTTCTTCTTTCTGAGCTGAGGGTCTATTGGAAATAATCTCTCCGCCTTCATTAGGTAGGGGTAAGGTCTGCGTACAGACTACCCTCCCCAGACCCCACATGTTGGGAATATACTGGGTATGTTGTTGTTGTTGACATTACAGTTGGATTTAACTTCACTAAGTGTAAAGAATTTATACTATTAGTGTAGTTTTAACATGTTGTAGCACATAACCCGAGTTACCTGATATTATAAAAATTCCATCATAATGTCTGTATGGAGATTTAACATGTTGTAGCACATAACCTGAGCTACCTGATATTGTAAAAATTCTATCATAATGTCTATATGGAGATTAAACTCAGCAACCTAATACTAACAGCAACCTCACATATCTGATATCACACCCTAGAGTCCATAATGGACTAACTAAAAGTTAGATTAATGATGGTGTTGGAGAATGGAGAAGTATTCAGTGAAGATATCTTCACAATTCACTAACTGAACTGAAAGGAAAGTTTCTATTCCATCTTGCTAAACATGATGTACTAAATGCATACATAACAATATCAACAAAGACAAAGACTCCTATCCAACTAGTTAGAAAATTCTTACACCTTGTAAGAGAGTCGTCTAGTTGGATTTCCGAGGGACACTTTAATCAATTCCAATATCTCAACAGCTTCTCTCAATCTTTTGTCCAGCTCTTTCCTTGCATGTGGCTGTGGAGTCCTGGACCTGCGTAAATTAGGTTCAATCTTAGACAATATATCTACCACAACTAAACTGTTTTATGGAGAAGAAGATTAAGCAACTGGGGTTGGTATATTGAAGAGCAGACCACTTGTCAGGTTTTGCTTTCCGTGAAAGCTCTTCTACATGATCGCGTAGTCTCCTCAAAAGAGCAGGCAACTTGTGCACAGCTTCAACACCTGTTTTCTCTGTGAATATCTTCTTCAAAAGGTCTGACGCAATGAAATATCCCTCTTCTTTGTTTCTGCACAAGCATTTTGCAAAGTAGAAACATATAAAGCTTATGCCACCTGAAGTACATTAGGAACTTGATTTTAATGCTCAATTTCAATAGCATACCTTAAAAACTCCCGCAAGATTGTTTCCACTGATCCACAGCTATCAATTAGTACATTAATCAAGTGTGGATATCGGGAAAGGTTTCTGAGAGTGGAGAGTGCATGTTTTGTAACTTCTTGATCAGGTAGGCTCCGGCTGAGAGAGCTGATCAGCTTTAACAATGTACCAACAGCACCCGCAGCAACAAGTTCTTCACAACATTTTTGTGAATGTTGTGTTGCCATATCTATCAAAGGAAAAGAAAAAGAGGATATTATTTCTTTATGATCCCTAGGTGAACTATCTTGACTGAACTCATCACTCATGAGAATCTAGACATGCACCCTTCTACGCACTGTTAAGTGAGTGGACATTGAAAACAAGAAACAATCAAAGACGTATCTGTACCAGATGCACAAAACACTTACTCAGAGTTGCACAGATACGAAGAATGTCGCTGACACTTCTCATATTCAGAAGTTCTGACAGTGCTGCAACAAGCCTGTTTATTATGCGCATACCATCATTAACATTCGCAGCAGATTTTTGTACTCTCAGACGCAAATCAAGAAGCTGCCCTCTTAAATCTTTTCTCGCAAGGTAACCTTTCATGTATGCCTTCATAGTGAAAAATGACGCATGAGTTAAGAAAGTTCAAGAAGAATGAAGATACTGCTGATTCAACTACAAAAACAAATTTGGAAATATTTGGAATGTATACAAGAAAATTATTCAAGAAGAAGATTGCTAGCAGACATTCTAACAATAAGTACAAGCTTAATCGTGTAAAACTGAGCTTCATTCAATACGGCTAGAAAGCATAACGGCTTGGACGTATATTGCTGAGATAGTGAAAAAGGACACGTACAGTTGAGATAGTATACCCAGTGTGCATTTATTCCCATATGTAACTTAGTGATCCAAAGCATATATGAGCTATCTATTATATTTGACAGTACTACATGATCACGTTCTATTTCTTCAGACAAGAATCTTTTCTTTCTCATCTTCTCACCTTCATATCTTCCCCAATTGCTTTCCTCATAGCTAATTCGCAGAAAAATCACCATAAGGTCATAACAAGAACTTCACCTTTCAAGAATTATACGCTGCTTCAATCCACTACAACCATTCTATCTGGTGATACAAATACTTTGAAACATACACATAATTTAGCAATGCCTATACTGCAAAGATGTTTTCTGATATTGAGCTGAACCATATTTCACTCAAGTAAGGACCCCTCTTTCCGGTGCTGGAAGATTCACACAACAACAACCACATGATTCCAGAGATTTTAAAGATTGTTACTTGACTTGCTCTGGGCCATTCCTGCTATATTGAATAGAACTACTTGCTAATACATTTTTAAGCATTATTGTTCAGCTTTTCTCCATGAACAAAATCAAGTTTCCAGATAATCTAAAAGCGCAAAATCGAGAAAAAAAATATCTTAAAAACATGCGATCAACTACAAAGGGGAGATTAGAAATGAATTATTGGATGCAAAGGCCATACGCACTGTCAGCTATGTTTCAGATGTGAGCGAAAATATTACAATCTACAGCGCAGGAAGATATAAATAGTGAAAGAGAAGGAGAAGTAATCTTCAAAATGCGACAAGAAAAGCTGGAAGTAAACAATACTTACCCAGCCATAGTCAAAGGAAATAAACAGCGGCAATAAAGAACTATAAAATACATGTGAACTTCAGAAGTTGCCTCAAGCATGTTAAGGAAGCACGGTGCGGTAAGCAAGATCTACGACTTACTTGGATCACAATAATTCGGTGCTTGTTTCTTGAAGCACTTTGCCGGGCTGTCCATCCTCGGACATGCGATTGGATGACAAGTGCTGCTTTTGTTCTCTGTTCATGAAGAAGTTTACCTCTCCACCACCTTTGCAACTTTAATACTGCTTGCAATTGTATTTTAAGTGCAAGAGTTTGGTAACCCAATTTTGAGATATTACTGTAGCAAGAGGCCCCTGGAATACCATGCATTAAGTTGATTATAGGCAGGAATAAGAAAAGTCAACAATGAAACTTGTGGTTGAAAATAAAGGTACCTAGGAGACTCATTCTAGTAATGGCTCCTCTTGCAAACCGTTGTATTTCCAAAGTAGCATGCCTTTGGCGAAGGAATGCCTTCCGGTATTTCATGCTCCGAATTGCAGTTTGAATCTTTATAACAGCCTCTTTTTCAATGAGCAGCCTTTTCCTTGTTAACCAGCCACGACAATGGCTCTGGCACAACAAAAATTTATTAAACACTTGAAACAGTCAAGTCCTTTGAGAAAAGTATTGTATTAGTCCATATCATGATAAAGTTGCATGAGCTGCTATATGAAATCCTTGTTAGAGTAGTTAATGTAGGGGTAACATAACGGTTACAGAAGCCAGAAATGACGCAACAATTGACTGGCTGCAAAATATGGAAGTAAAAGCGGCAAATGTCATTGCCAAGTGAAAGTGCCAAAAAATAAACAACGCAGAAGTACCATTTTTTGCAATAAAGAACTATAAAATACATGTGAACTTCAGAAGTTGCCTCAAGCATGTTAAGGAAGCACGGCGCGGTAAGCAAGATCTACGACTTACTTGGATCACAATAATTTGGTGCTTGTTTCTTGAAGCACTTTGCCGGGCTGTCCATCCTCGGACATGCGATTGGATGACAAGTGCTGCTTTTGTTCTCTGTTCATGAAGAAGTTTACCTCTCCACCACCTTTGCAACTTTAATACTGCTTGCAATAGTATTTTAAGTGCAAGAGTTTGGTCACCCAATTTTGAGATATTACTGTAGCAAGAGGCCCCTGGAATACCATGCATTAAGTTGATTATAGGCAGGAACAGGAAACGTCAACAATGAAACTTGTGATTGAAAATAAAGGTACCTAGGAGACTCTTTCTAGTAATGGCTCCTCTTGCAAACCGTTGTATCTCCAGAGTAGCGTGCCTTTGGCGAAGGAATGCTTTCCGGTATTTCATGCTCCGAATTGCAGTTTGAATCTTTATAACAGCCTCTTTTTCAATGAGCAGCCTTTTCCTTGTTAACCAGCCACGACAATGGCTCTGGCACAACAAAAAATTATTAAACACTTGGAACAGTCAAGTCCTTTGAGAAAAGTCTTTTATTAGTCCATATCATGATAAAGTTGCATGAGCTGCTATATGAAATCCTTGTTAGAGTAGTTAATGTAGGGGTAACATAACGGTTACAGAAGCCAGAAATGACGCAACAATTGACTGGCTGCAAAATATGGAAGTAAAAGCAGCAAATGTCATTGCCAAGTGAAAGTGCCAAAACAAAGTATTGCACTTAGCCACTTACAACAATTTTGCTAAATTAAGGCAACAATATTTAGAAATACAAACGCATTTATATACTCCATAACTTGTTAGATAAACTTGTAATGCTTCTGGTTCGTCTATCTACGTTTCTCCTCATGCTAACTGGTGCAAACACGCTGTTTAAGACAAAAAAAAATCTAAGCCTGTCCCATAGGCTAATGATTCAAGGTACAATCTGCTCATGAAAGGAAATGACCTAAATTCTGCGGTTTGATTTGTGTCACATAAACATTATGGAACCCTGTACCTTATGTGACTGAGGATCTCTGGAAGGTTGCAGGATACAACTAACAGAAAAACATAATGCAAATGCATGAAAAAAAGAAGTTACACAATCTAAGTCCTTTAACTAGATGTTGACCTTACGAGGATGTACTTTCAATGAGTAACTTAATAAGCCTGGGGTACCAAATAAAAGGTGTAGTTAAGTACAATATATGGCAGGTCAGTATCGAGTGTATCTCTGAAGTAAATAAAAATGAATCAATATACCTCAAATATTTAATATTTCAAGAAAAAATTACCTGAATCATAATAATTTGAGATTTACGCCTATAAACTTCTCTTTGAGCAATCCGTTTGCGGACATAAGCCTGGATTGCAATTGCTGAAAGAGCTTCCTGTTTATAGCAATGAAAATCCCTCAAACATCTTGCAGATTGAAAAATGCTCTGTATTTTTATTGCTGCTTGCTTCTGATCCACAAATTTTTTCCTCATCAACCATCCATGATAGTAACTTTGAATTTTAGTTGCTGCAAAGTGTTGACTGTGTAGAGGGCTGCTTAATGTATATTCCTTTGAAGCATGTTGGATTGCTACCGCTGCATTTATATTCTCTTCACATTCCTTAGGAACTGTAGGAGATTGGTCCGTGCTTACAAGAGAAGACCTTACTATCCACCCACGAATACACTTTTGTATGACAATGGCAGCATCAATGAGAGTTTGAGCGGACAAATCTTGCGGTGATGCATCTCCAGTCACATGTCTCCGGGAAATCCAGTCTCTTGTGGCACGCTGGATGATTCTTACAGATCTCCTCAACTTAAGAAAGGCATGTCTATCGACCACAAAGGCAGCGTGTTTTTCCAAATTTTCTGAACAATTCCTTGCACCTGTTCATTTGTAGCAATACATTAAATGATAAAAGTTCTAACAGCTAGTAATGGAGCAAAAGGGAAGGGAAAAAGTAAGCATATACCACATAGTGATGCCAGATATGTCTGTGAACCAAAAAACTGAATTGATTGTTCCTTCTTTACCCTCAGCCATGCTTGTACTGCAGCTTGCAAGATACAGACTGCATTCCTAATCCTCAAATATTTGCGACGCTGCACTGACTGTCTGAAATGAGACTGTATTACTTTTGCTGCATTTTCTGAAACAATGAGACAAACATCTTTCAGCTGACTTGAGAGCTGGTAAAACTATACCTGAAGCATTCAAATTTTCATCTTCAGATGACAAAGCACAGAATGGAGATAGTAGGGGTGACACCCACATTGAATTATATACAAGAAGAAAAGCTATCGGAGAGAATATTGACATGTTCATGATAATGGTTACAGCAAAATATTTACACACTAAGTACGTAATTGTTTGGTGTAGAAGTTGCTAGTCGTTCCAGATCTATAACACCCCCCAAATGCCAACAGCATTTAAACAGACAGAATAAGCTGAAGTGCCAAAAATCTAAGAAGTATCATGGATGATTACCTTTTTGAGTATCATTGGTTCTTTTACTAGTAAAAGACCACTTTACTAGACTGCTAGAAGTTTCCTTAGAAGTGCATTTGTTATTTTGTTGAGCCATCTCTTGCCACCAAGACATTACAGCCTTAAAATTTCTGGCAACATCTGTATTATCAAAAAGGTCATAAAGACCATGAAATTAAATTAGTACAAAAGGCTATCGATGACATGGATATGAGACTATTACAAAGGAGAGAAGCCTTTATGCAGAGAAAGATTACCTCTACTGAAATTATTTCCGTAAAGAAATGGGAACCTTTTTCATAAAATTTGCATTCATTGGAAAAAGAAAATTGAAACTCGAAATACTTTATTCTAACCAACTTTAAGTAAAATCTGTAGTATTGACAACTTCACGTTTCCACACAACGTTTTCTGCCGCATGGTGTCACAGTCAAAATTATGTTCGCTGTAGTTTATATAAACAGCGCCTACAGGGTTCACTACCATTTGGTTTAATGGAAAATTTTCTGATGCATGGTGTTACCCAAAACTTTACTTCCTGTAGTTCATATAAACAGCTGATGAATGTTTCAAGTCTTCCATTGGCCAAACAAATGAAATAAATAAACGATAAAATTTCTAAAATTAGAATCCCTCAAAAGAACCATCAGACACCTTTGTCATCATTTTGTTCTGGGTCTACAGCTGCTTCAGGATGCATAAACCACTGGTCCGTGCTTAGCCGTCTCCTTTCAGGACTTTGACAATTAAATCCCAATAACTTGTGGAAATTCAATTGATCCTGTTAAAAGACAGCAATTGTCATCAGTTTCCCAAATTAAGACTGACACTAGTGAGTTGCATATAATCTATAATGAACAATACCTTGTTTCTTCTAACTAGTAGTTGAAATGAGAGAAACACCAAGAGAATAATGACACTCTGACCATTGCATGCACCGTTTGTTTCCAGTATATCACTGACTTGTAGTACCTGCAAAAAAATTATATTTAACTTTCAATCATACAATTTTCGGCCCACAAGTATTAAATTGAATTATTCCTGCCATCCCAAAGTGGATGTGGGTTGTTTGGTTTTAATGGAGCCACTAAAATAAAATTACTATGAAAGATCATTTTGGTCTAATGAAATATCCTGAGTTGCACAATAAGTGGTAAGATTTAACTTTCCATGTAGGGACAGACCAAAAAGGAATGATGGACATGGAATTGAGACTGGGGGAGTTTGAGAACAAAGGTATTTTGTTAACTGATCAACAACACCAAATTCATAGAATTATATAAATGGTATTGCGACCTCCAAAAGGTAACATATATGGGTTAAAAGCAATATGTGTCTGATTGTAACAGACCAAATGGTTTCTTCCACTTTTGAATCCCAAATATTTTGGTTAAGGTCAGAACATGGTTCGTTTCTACAAATTGTTCTCTATTTCTCAGTTCAACAGAAGTTCCAGAGGAAGACAAGAGAACCTAAAAAGGATAAAGGCTCAGAGGAACTATACACGGTATCTTATCCAATCACTAGGAGTATTGACTAATAAGGAGGCATGCACTTCTGGCAAGAAAAGACTAAGAGGGAAACTACCCGACAAACTTTCATTAGCCATATCGTAACTCCATAGGTAGATTACAGCTATTGGTTGCTTTTCATAGGATTTGCTCCCCTAAGAAGAATATTCTGTGGAGTGTGTAGTAGTAGGAAATCCTTGTTTGCCTCAATCTCTTAGGAGCAAATGCCTGCAATACATGGAACTCTACAAGCAAATGCTTATTGCAATACACTGCTACTTGAAATATCCCGGAAATATTACAAAAGTTTGAGCAGAGTTACTGTTTGGTTATCATAGAGATCTTTCTAAGTATAAGTTTTCAGGAAAAGAAGATGTATACTAATTTGATGGAAGGTCCCTCTGATGCTAAAAGGTATTTCATTCAGATTAATATGTGAGTGCAGAACCCATGTAAAAAGTTTGAAAGTTGAAGCACTTACAGGAAAATTAAGAGGTCTGGCATATTCTTTTTCTGTAGAAATTTTAAGTACTTTTATCAATACTCTTATTTGCAGGGGACAACTTCATCGTTGGGAAACAACAGTTGGAGCAGCATTTCTTTGAAACACTCAGAACTATTTTGCTCCTAAATCAATTATTTTACCAAGGAAATAACAGAATATTATGAATCGCTCAATTTTTACAGACACTAAGTAAACTATTGTTTCACCTCTGGAAACCTCCCCAATAGCAATGGCAGCTTTTGAGATAGAATAAAATTGTGCACTGCATCTGTGTAATCAACTACAGATACTATGGAAACTTCTTCTTTTGCTTCACTGAGTGCCTGTACTATCATCACAAAACGGTATTGAGCTGCAAAATTGTCTTAGTAAAATGTTAAACAATGATAGATTCATGGATAAAATTCAAGCACCTGATAAGAGCAGGAACAGCGATTGTCCTTGCGGAAATAATAATCAAGCAAGCACCACATAGCTTTTCCATCAACAAACGATGAAAAATTTTCGACCTTAAGGTCATAACTTTCACAAATTGCCTGAAACAGTCAGGTAATCATGTTCATATGATAAATCCAAAATCATAATGATACAGGCAGCAATAATCTTCTAACGAGTCTACTACTTATAGAGCATTAGGGTGCTCCATAGTGGAAGCTACATATTCTGCAGCTAGGATTATTTGAAAACTGAGCATGAGTGTTACTACATCCTTCGGAAATACTGGGAATATGTTATCCAGACAAGAGCCAAATAACAGGAGTTTTCTATTTTCCTATTAACCAGGCATATTCACCGTGTTAAATCCTGAACGTTTCCTTTTGCATCACAGTTAAAGAGCTATGTTTTCCAGAAAGGAGACTAAAGGACAATCCAACAGAGTAGCGTAGTCAAAATGCCCGCATAGAATCACACCCCATAAGAGTTGTTTCTTTTAGTCATCTACATCAACTAGTCAATCAAACTTCTAAGCATCACTTAACCATATGTGATATAATCAGTGTTAAGCGTACTAGGTGACAACATTGAAAGAATGGCAATGGATCATCACAAAATCAATCGAGAATAATAATAGGATCACCACAAGGCTGATATAAGGAAAACATTACTACCGTAGTCACAAAGTTCATTAAATGATAATAATACCCGGATCCAATTCAGGAGCATGTCCAAGTGATTGCAGCTGCTTGAGTTTTGCTGTAAGTGGAAAATATGAAAAACATTATCAAATTTGGCTTGTTACAGTCAGGTGATTTAAGTGTACGAATATAAAATACACACTCTTTTAGACACAATGAGCATTAACACATAGAGGTGTAAAACATGTTCATAGATTCCTATCTTACCCAATCTACATCACTACGACTCACATTATATACCTATACTGTTCTTAGATGACATTCTGATTCAACCAGTGCCTTGCGATGAGAAAGTTCTTTTTTTCTGGAAAGTAGAATAAGTATCTTTACTCCAGACTAAGCATACCTCAACAACTCCTCGGATTTTAGAAATCTCCTCTGAGAAAAGTTCTTTGTTGATTAGAAGTGGCAACTGCAAAATCGACATCAGAATATATCATGAATATAAAAGAAGTCAAGAATATAGTTCCTGTAGCTAACAACAAATTTTATAATAGTTAGGAAGCAAAGTACAGCTAACTAAACTGAGAAAGGATTTATTGCATAACTATTTTATTTATATAAAAGCAACAGTTAAAAGATCATACCTCGTTAAAAATAAGGTTAAGTTTTTTAGAGTGTACTAACATAGATGGAATAGTCACTACTCACAAGGAATAGTAAATTTCACCTGCAAGTGCACAAAGATGTTCCAGAGCAATGAAATGGTGAGCTCCTTGTCTCCATCAACGATGTCTTCTGCCATAATGATTGTTCCATCTTGATCACACAATGGGACACCTGCCTCCCTGAGAAATTGTAGAACTGTGCCACAGTTCACCAGACTCTTCTTGCGAGTATCTGAGGGAACTACCATTTTCTGACATAGAACAGCACATAGAACAGTTCATAAGCCTTACCATTTTCTGACGTAGAACAGCACATAGAACAGTTCATAAGCCTTACGTTTCCAATTGTAACAGCTTCTGTAGACATGGGAACCAATCTAACACATACAAAAGGAAAGGAAGGAAAGACGATCATTTATAAGCTAACCGAGAGGATAGAAGGATCATGTTGCAAGAGTTGAATGGCTCTGCAAAGTCTAATGCCATCCTGAAGGTCCTTAAATAAATCAGCCACACCAAAGTGATACTCAAGCAAAGGATTCTGCACCAGACAATATCAGTTGGCCACAATAATCAGAGACCTATACTGCAACACATATGAATGATGTCAACCGTGCCGTAAAAGTAAACAGACGACAAGAGCGCTCGCTAACCAAGAGACAACCCCATATAAACGAGGGCTCAACTCGGTCCAACTTAAACATGAGACAACCCGGTAACCAGAAAAAGTCAACCATGTAGTTAAAGCATTTACAATTGCAAACTAAGATCATTAATCAACATGCTTACCTGTTGATATGTCACTTTATAGCCTACGATGACAAGATGCGCAAGTAGATTGCCTTCACCATGCATCACATCAGATGATAAGAACTCTAACATGTTTTTAAGATAGGGAAATGTTAATACACGAGTTATAATAGAAAGGTCTTGTAAACAATCTACAGAAGAAAAATATGAAGAGTAAACAAGCAATTACTGTTGATCAGTTGACGGCTAGATTTAGCATCTGATTGCAAAGAGAACAATAGAGGAGATCCTCCATCTTGTGCGTCAATACCATATTTAAGTGGCAGACTACTCTGAGTTTTGACTCTATCTAGTATGAGAACAAGCAACAAAAATCTCTTCAAGACAATATTGCCTAACTTTTCATAGTAACCAGGTCTATATAAACCCTCCACTAACTTGTTATAAGCATAGGTCTTTGCTAGACCAACATGTGAGAAAAATTGCTTATCAAGCACCATCTTCAAGAAGGCAATTTCTTGGTCGGAATTGACATCTCCATTTGGTAACAAGGTGTCACCCCCCAAGAGTATGTACAATCCAATCCGAAGCCAAACGGGGTTATAACACATAAGAGTTCTCAAGGCTTTCTCCTTCATTCCAACATCAGTTACCATGGGACAATGAGCTCTCATTTTCAGGCGTCCTTCATCAATGGTCTGAAAAGATAACCAAAGCAGGAGAAATTTAACAAATGACCATAATTCAAACCATGATAAAGTAGGCATATATTTTATTTTGTGATAATAATATTTATTGGTTGAATCAAGGTATTGTTACCTAAAGCATGCACAGTCGCACTTTTACAGTTCTCAATTCGCACTAATTACACTTGTGGCTCAAAGAATTGTTAAACAAGTTGTGAAGCTTCAGATTACTTTAGATCGGTGCCTAAGATCTTGATTCCAATATAACACACTCTATCATCTCCTTGAGTAAATATTAGCAGTAGAGTAACTTAGAAAAAGCATCATCAAATCAATCAATCAACTATGAATCATTAGTTTTTTTCAACCTAATTTATTCCAATATAAAACAATTTGTCTTTTGAGAGAAATAAGGGTCCTCTGAGACTAGAGGTTCTCGTAGTTGGACCATTTCTTTAGTTTCAATCTACCACAACCCTCGTCATTTAATCAAGCTTGAGACCAATCATTCTTCGCGAAGGCGGAGTTTCATCAGCAAGCTTCTCATATTTTTTTAAAAACAGATTAAGCTGATTATTCGATCATTCATCAGAAAACGGCTTTACAAATTGATTCAATTGTGAATTTAGCATCTCCATATGTTACCTTTGTTACTTGAGTCATTGTAACAAAAACCTCTTTACAGCTTCCCAAGCTGAGGTAACCACTCATCCTCTCCTTTAAATCATCAAAGCTGCAAATGTCAGTCAACGAAGCTTTAAGTCCCGAAAACATGGAATCTGAAAATGCTGTTGTCTCTCCATCTTCAAAATTTGAGGATAAATGCCTCTGCCTCTTGGGCCCTCGCCACAGCACATCAACTCCAACAGTGTTGTGCCCTGCCCCACTTTCCCTCCTCTTCCCATTTCCTGCAACACACGGCAGCCGATTGGACGTCTCAAATCCTCCGGTGAAACTCGAGACATCGCAACCACAAGAGCTAGGGTTTTCAAACAAGAAATTCAGCCACACGGTAAGCGACTTCGCGAGTGATTTCAACGATTTCTCTTTGCTAATCAACGCCTTTCGTGCTGATTTCGCTTGCTCGAGCTCGAACGCCTTTAATCTTCGAGCAGTAGCACTCGACTTCACCGCCGACGGCTTCATGCTTCCACGACGGCGGACGGAAGATACCGGCGTGGTTTTCGAGGCGGTGAAAAACTCCGCCTGGCAGTGAATCGGTGTAGGAGAAGGAGAACTAAACTTTGCTGCATATCGTGAAGGCTTTGGAGTTTTGAAATTGGAGATTTCTTTAAATGGAAAGTCCTGGAAGGGTGATGGGATGCATGAAGTTTGTGACGCTTTCTTCTGTTCCATTTTCCAGCCAGATTCCGATGGATTTGTCTGAAACTGAGAAAATGGTGAACTTTTTTATCTTTACCGTTTTAATTTGAATGTGGAGACAGGCGGGGGGTTTTATGAGTAGTTAAATTTTGAATTGTACTCGGGTTCTCGGGCCTTCAGCCTGGCCCCTTTCCGGTTCACTCCAAAAGGAAAGGAATCCACAAAAGGTAATCTCCTTAATAAAGGTAAAGTAAATAGGCGGTTACGATATTATACATATGATTGGTTTAATTTCAAATCTAATGATATTTTTTGGGTAAATTTAAAAAATGGTCATATAATTATAATTTTTTTTCATCAAAATCGTACAACTTTATTTTCTCACATAAAAATTATATAACTATGACTTTTTTTCGCCAAAGTCATACAACTTTGTTTTCTCACACAAAAATCATAAAACTTTCACTAACTCACACAAAAATCATAAAACTTTCACTAACTCACACAAAAATCATAGTGGTTGAAATTTCCGGTAGTATTTTCTTATTTTACGTTTTTTATTTTTATTTTTTAATCTAACAAATAATTACCCAATTAAAATAGAAAAAATATGAGTATATTTTTAGCCGCTCCTTAAAATAATAGCCGGTAAAATATTATTTATATATATATATATATATATATATATATAAGTGTGCGTGTGTGTGTATTATATACATATAACATACACATTCTATATGTACTTTCGCTAGCAAATACAATTAGTTTCCGCCAACCGATTAATTATATATTTTCCCCTTAAAATTGGAATGACCGTTCCCAACCTGACTCAATACCCATATACATAAGTTAAAATAATTCTAAAAGTGATTTCTTCCCCTTATAAAAAATTTAGTTTGGAATGCATGAGATTCTAACAAAAAAAAAACAAAAAAAAAATTATAATTAGAGAGCATTTAAAATAAAAATGCTATCAATTTGAATAAAAAAATTGAAAAGACAAATAAAAGATAGAAGTATCATGTTTTGAAGGATTTACTATTCACTTTTAGTATTATTTTAATTTATATTCGGGCGGACCAGATCGGGTTGGGTCATTCCTATTTTAGTTAAATTATTATTTATTTACTAGACTGGAAATAAAAAATAAAAAACCAAAGTAAGAAAATACTTCTAAAAATATATTTTTCGATCGCTATGATTTTATGTGAGTTAGTAAAAAAGTTTATAATTTTTGTGTGAGAAAATATAGTTATATGACTTTGATAAAAAAAAAAAAAAAAAAAAAAAGAAGAAGTCATAGTTATATGATTTTTGTGTGAGAAACAAAGTTAGATGACTTTGGTGAAAGATAATCATAATTACATTACCAATTGTGAAATTTACCCGATTTTTTTTCCATTTCTAATTTGAAAAAAAACGTGAGTAACAACGAAGTATTATCGAATTGGAAATTCTGTAGGTCTAAGTTATATACACGATAGTGTTATATTTCTTTACAAAATTGGTGTAATTTAATTTATTATAGTAAATTAATTATTGTTTACCATGTTATCAATTAACAATTATAATAAATATTTAAAATAACTAGATAGGGTTAAATGTGCAGGGATTATGCAGATACACATGCCCCTTCCCTTCTCTTTTGGATGAATGGGGTGATTTAGAAGGCGATTTTCGATCAAGTTGGTCTTTCTCAACGTGATGTATAGCACGAAAACCCTTTTGATACAAGATAGGGCCATTCACATGAGAGGGAAAAAAAAGAATCATTTCTTATCTTCTTTCCCGAGAGGAAAAAAGAACGAGGTCTTATGGAGGCCGGGGGTGGGGGTGGGGGGGAGCTTGAACCTACCTATATCTTGATATATCTTTTTTGCGGGTTGTGCTGTAATAAGCAAGATTTGTAATAAGAAAGATCTTGCTATGGTCATACTGATTCACTGAATGCTCTCTCTCTCTCTTTCCGGTTAACCTTCAAAGTGGAAGAAAGAGTATTATTAGTACTCACACGATGTGCGAATATTATTAAAGAATATTAATTATATCAAAGTATAATTTAACTTATTTGAGCACATTAGATCATATGGTTTAACAAAATTATTATTATCCTCTTTGTCTGCTCAATAAATAAACTCCTGTGTAATTATATTAAAGGACTCATATAAACATCGAATAACTTTTGGATGATAGTACAATATCATAACTATATAAGTTATGCTGCAAATAACCTAATAATGTAACATGATTTAAAACAAATGAGAATACATTATAATTAAATAAATCGAAGAAATCCTCCATTTACTATTTTGTTAACTTTATTTGTTATTTGTTCATCATCATTACAATAATGTTGCACTGTGAGCCGAGCCCGGGCCTAAATGGGCTTAATGGGTCGGGTTTAATTGGCCTGGGCTTCGTGGGACTGGGCTCTGGCGGTCCCGGGCCTGACGGTCCCGGGCTTCGTGGGCTCAACGGGTGAGACCAGTCCATGACGGGCCTAAGCCCATATGGTCATGTGTTTAGCGGGTCGGGCCCGTGGGCTTAGCGGGCCTAGCGGGCTTTTTTTTGTTTTTTGTTTTTGTTTAAGGCAATATCTTGTAAACCATATCATGGCTTTATAAAATAGTAGAAATCTAATTATTAAAAGTGCTTGACGAAAAAGTAATATATATATAGACTATAGTATACTAGTATAGTATATATAATATATATATATAGTATACTAGTATTGTATGTTATGTATATATATTTCTTATATATTTTCTTGTAGTATATATATTGTATGTTATGTATATATTTCTCTTATATATTTTTTTGTAGTATATATATTGTATGTTATGCATATATATTCCCTTATATATTTTCTTGTAGTATATATTGTATGTTATAGATATATATAGTATAGCTTATATATTTTCTTGTATTATATATTGTGTCACACCTCCTTTTTCCGCGTCCGAGAGGCGCAGGGGGAGTTTTTCCAATTAAAGGACAATCAAAACGGGATTTGTTTATTTATTTCAGAGTCGCCACTTGGGAGATTTAGGGTGTCCCAAGTCACCAATTTTAATCCCGAATCGAGGAAAATAATGACTCTATATTACAGTCTGTATACCAGAAATCCGGATAAGGAATTCTGTTAACCCGGGAGAAGGTGTTAGGCATTCCCGAGTTCCGTGGTTCTAGCACGGTCGCTCAACTGTTATATTCGGCTTGTTTATCTGATTTTTAATACAATTATGAACCATGTGCAAATTTTATCTTTTAACCACTTTATTAATTATTATTATTAGGAATGTGAACGTCGCTTAAAACATGTCTTTGGACTGCGTCACATGAAATGCACCCACAATCCGGAACATATCTTATTTGACGTTTTGGGATTTGGATTTGGGTCGCATGAAATGCACACCCCAAGTTTTAAGAAAGTAAATTATTAAACACGCGCCTAAAAGACTATCGCGTTATTATTTTAGGAA